ATAAAATAGTGATTGTCAGGAAATCTTTTCGTTAGGGCTGATGTGCTTGCACTGAGGGGGCATTGAGAATAGATGAGTTATTACGAATAAAGGGGTGCCTTTAGAAAAACAAGAAAGAGTGTACATCCCCCCCCCCCCAAAAAAAAAAGAAAGAGAAAAGGGTGTGTAGGGAAATCACTGGAGCAATTATTAAAAAATAAAAATTAGATGGTGTAAGTACTTGTCACTAGGTAGCGCAAGCTGCCGCCTAATACAACGGGTTGGGCAGCTAATCTTATCTACTTGAGAGTTCATAAGGTGCGCAAATTGAACTTAAATCGTGCCTAGTTTAGCTATGGTGCCTGTATCGCGTCTTCGACTGGTGTGTTTAGCGTCCTATCCCGCCCATACATCAAAAGTGAACCCCAAGTGGCAACAAATGACGTCACAAAAGCCGGAGCACTGATCAGTACTGATCAGTGAGCCGGAGTGTCATGTTGCCTGTCGTGATCCTGGCGGTTGGCCGTAGAAATGCTGGCGAAATGCTGGCGAGTTGTGGCAATTTGGTTGTGGAACTCAAGCGGAAGGCGGTACCCCCCGTCACTCACTTCAATCCGCCGATGGATGGATGGATGGATGATGGATGAATACGGCTGAGCCCTTTGGATCGGGCGGTAGCTTACGCCACCTAGCCATTTTGTTTTACCATTTAAGCTTAGAATATTTAAATGTGAAATCTATATTCACTCCGCAGTGCAAAGAAAGTGAGGCTATGAAACCCCCTTGCCATCAGTGGATAAGAAAATACCTAGTTTTCTCTCGATTTCTGCCACCATTCACTTAATCTTTGCTTGGTAATCTCTACAGTCTTGAAATCCACTCTCCCTTCGCTGTCTCTAAAACCCAATGACTTTATTAAATCTATGTTGTCTTCGGTAGGCATAGGGTGAAGCCCTTTACAGTAGAGTATCAAGTGCTCAGCCGTCTCGTCCTCCTCTCCACAAGCAGTGCACACTGTATCAATTTCCTGGTACTTCACTCTGTATGTTCTGGTTCGCAGAACACCCGTTCTTGCCTCAAACAGCAATGAGCTTCCCCTAGAATTGTCATAAATGCTTTCTTTGGCAATAACTCTTTTGTTTAATCTATAGCTTTCCAGAGCCGTCTTTGTCTGCATTCCCTCTAGCCACCAATCTCTTTCTGTGGCCTTAACTTTCTTCTTAACTGAGACTTGCTCTTCCGTATCTTCGCTATAGCCCAAAAACTTTCCTCTTAATTTCCTAGTGCGCTGTCTCCACTTTGTGTCTACACTCCTCATGTATAAATAGCTGAAAACCTTTCGTGCCCATTGCTCCCCGTCCATTTGCCTCAACCTATCCTCAAATTCTACCTTGCTCACCGCTTCCCTGCTCTCAAATGATGCCCATCCCATGTCTCCTTGTACTCCCTGGTTTGGCGTTTTGCAATGTGCCCCCAAAGCCAGTCTACCTACTCCGCGCTGTTTTATTTCTAGTCTCGCATGCACTTCGGATTTCATGCATAGCACTGCGTTTCCAAAAGTCAAGCCAGGCACCATGACTCCTTTCCAAATCTCTCTCACCACCTCATACCTGTTGTAATTCCAAAGTGCTCTATTTTTCATTACAGCTGCATTTCTGTTGCCCTTACCTATTATATACTTTTCATGGTCTCTGAGATATTCTGCACCATCACATATCCATACTCCTAGATACTTGTATTTACTAGCTCTCTCAACTGTAATATTCTGTATCTTCAGCCTCTCAACTTCATCCTCGTTAAAAATCATGACTGCCGATTTTTCGCTACTGAATTCTAAACCTAATTCCTCTCCTTCCCTACCACAGATGCTCATTAATTCCTGCAACTCTGTCCTGTTGTTAGCCATTAGTACAATATCATCCGCATACATCAATCCCGGTAAGGATTGCTGAATATTTTGGCCTAGCTTACTGTAAGAAAGGTTGAACCCAAGCCCACTCTTCTCTAGTCTATCCTCCAATCCTCTCAGATACAACATAAACAGCAAAGGCGATAACGGGCACCCCTGCCTAAGGCCTCGTCTTATCTCTATTTTCCCTGTCGCCTTTCCTTCCCATGTTATAATCACCTTGTTATCTTTGTAAATGTTCCTTAATAGTGCTGTTAGTCCTTCATCTAGGTTTAAGTTCTCCATTATGTCCCACAGGTTTCTTTGGTTCACATTGTCATAGGCACCCTTGATATCCAGAAATGCCAGCCAGAGCTGTCTGTTTTCTTTTTGCGCTATTTCTATACACTGTGTTAGAGAAAATAAATTGTCCTCCAACCTTCTTTGTTTTCGAAACCCGTTCTGTAATTCGCCCAGTATGCCCTCGCAATCTACCCATTCCTCCAGTCTGTTCTTTATAATCTGCATTACCAACCTGTAAATAACCGGTGTCACGGTTATAGGACGATAATTCCTAATATCAGACTTATCTCCCTTTCCCTTATATATCATACTCATCCTACTAAGCCTCCATTCATCTGGAATATTTCCTTTTGTTATCATGGTACTCACTACCTCCCTTAGTTTTGCCTTAGATTTAGGACCCAAATTCTTCACCAGCTTGATAGGGATACCATCTGTGCCTGTCGACGTGCCACTAGGGACTCTTCGTTCCGCCTTTTCCCATTCTCTTTGTCCAAAATCCGCGATGTCACAAACTGGACTGCTACTTCCTTCGGTTCTCCTATCTTCCACATGTAACCGTTCCCGAAATTTCTCCTCCATCACTGCTCCTATATATTGTATCGCGTCATCTCCCTCTAATTGATCTCCCTGATGCGAGAGTATGAACCTCTGTCTAGCTTGCGTTGTTTCACCGCCAAGTGCCGTTCGAAGCGCCATCTAGATTTTCGTTTCATAACTGTGCGTTCCAGGGAGCTAGAGTGCCTTCATACACACGCGCGCTTTTGCTTGAGTGGTGACATCTCAGCCATTTTTCCGCCCAATGTTTTTTTTATGCATTTTGAAGTGCGCGCAATCCGGTGTCACTCAGCTCGAGCGCGTAGCTTTGGGTAATGCATAGACGCCATATTACCGCCCAAGTCACGCACCGACTACACGAGAGCGTCACGCGCTGGCACATTCAGGGCAACAATGGATGTCTTCACCCTGAGACAGACAGACATGTAGGCACCCTACAGGGAGCAGAGATAAAGCGCCATCTAGACGCCGTGCTCCGAAACGTACGTAGCGATCCGAGCGATCCCGACCCGATATCACCGTGCTCATGGAGAATAGAAGGGTAGGAGAGGGCATGACGTCGGCCGCGTAGCCTCCGCAAGCCATGCTCCCTTGACGCCTCGCCTCTTTCTCATTTTCCTCCTTACTCTCCTCCCATGCCAACGTGACCACATCACGTGACCGTAGCTAGCCTTCGTCTTGCTGTGGGGTACTAGAATACACCACAGTCTAGCCTTCGATCTGATAAAACCTACCGGACGGAGCGCGCGCCAGCCTGGAAGGTGTCCTTCTACAAGCAACCATCCATCTCACACGTGACATGTCACGCGCACCAATCACCAGACAGATCTGCGGTCACGCTGGGCACAAAATCGTTTAAACGTTTTATGACTAGGCTTCACCAATATTGCAACGTGCCCTCTCCTAGTACTTCTAACCTCCTTGACCGTGCTCGATTCCCGTAGAATACGCTGCAGTTACGAAAGCAGCCGTCCGGCGGCGCGTCAAGCGACGCTTGGCTAAAGCCAACGTTACTAAAACACTCAGTTGGGAAACTCCCATAGAGACAGCTTTGAAAAAGTGGCCCCAATCCGTCTCCGAGCACCGAGCTAATGACGAACGCAACGCCACCATTTCTCCCGCAGCGGCCACTCGAGGAACTGCACGTGACTTCTCTTTTGGCTTTAAAACAGATGCACCGGTTGAGGTGACAGGGGTGCCAGCCCCGTCTCCCCGGCGGACGCGCCGCGGCTTACTACCAAAATTAAAATGCACCTAGGGCGGGACGCGCTACCTGAAAGGCCCGCTAAGGCATGGTTGTATAAAAACAATATTAATTGTGCCGCAAAACCCTGCAAACTAAAGATTTCAAAAGCATAACGCGCCCCTCTTTTTGTACTAAACTCCAATAAATTTCATACAAAAAGAGTCTTTTTTCGTTTGTTTTTACGCAAAAACAGGCTTTCAAAAAGCTCAAGGTGACCACAGTACAGACAAGTGATAGAGAGTGGCGCTGTTGTCGCATTTAGCTCGGTCTCGGTGGACGCCAGTGGCCCAGGTTTCGACGGCGAGTTTCCCAACTGAGTGCTTTAGTAACGTTGGCTAAAGCCCCTCTATGTGTTGACGTGTCTTGCAAGTAGCGCCAAATGCGCGAGCGCACGAGGCCCATGTCTCGAGCGGCCCTTGGAAGCAAGTGGCGGTGCAGCACTGAAATGAGCGGCCCTTGGAAGCGAATGGCGGCGGAGCACGCGCTCGCGGCACGTGTCTCGCGCGTTTCCACAACAATGGTTGGCGGTACTTGTAAAAAAAGCCTTTATCAAGGGGCTTTACGCTTGGCCAGTCTTGGTGAGTGAGGGGGGTACTGTTCGTGCATGAAGCGTCTATGAGCTAATCTAATAACGTTGGCACGAGCGAACGCGGGTGTCGTTGTCGTCACGGCATCCCATGCGTCCCAACTTCCGGCTGCTCTAACTTCCGTGAAGTGTCACAGTGGAAAGCGACCTGCAGCAGAACAGGCGTATGCTACTTAAACCACAATTGTTGGGACGCCGCCAGGGTCGCGACCAGCGACAACATGGCACTTTTATGACGTCATCAGGCGGAAATCGAGGGACCACTTTTTCAGCCGCGGTAAGCACACCAGTCTGAGACGCGTTCCAGGCACTATAGTTTAGCTAAACTGTTTTATTTTGCTTTTACCAAGCAATAGTTTCTTTTTTAAGTACTCTGTGATGCCATTTATGTTTATTTATGTTTGCATTGTAATACGTCACTAAACTATGTGTTTGTTTACGATGTTTACCTTCGTTTTTTGAAGTGATAAAACAGGTCCGGCAGTGCTTGGCGTTCCCGCAAGGCGGCCCTCTGTAGCCACGGCGAAATTGACGAAATTCAACAAAATCGACGGCGGATGACTCGAATGAATGGCAAGAAACGGTAAAAGGAAGTCACCCACGGCAAGCGAGGCAGTGCCAGCAGTGCACCGTAAGCCGGCTGCGGCGGTTTACAGTCGAATCTCGTTTCAAAGCCGCAGCAGATAAAAAAATCAATTTTGGGGAGCCCGTAGCTAAAACTCTTGACGTCGGTCCTCGAGTCCCTGCAAGAATGCACTGGATCGTCGGCGTCTTGTTCCTGCTTTATGCGTTTGTGGACGTCAACTATTTAATTTGGTACATAATTTTGATCACTGCTTACGCACTGAAATGGAGGAAGACTGCGCGCTGCTCCCTTCTCGAACCGGACTGTTACACTGGTAAGGGCTTTCAAAGTATCTGAATCTGGCAGCTGAAGTTGAGGTTTGTAAAATCGCCGGTTTAACCTGGCAGGTTAAACCGACGATGGGAAGTGCGGTTCGTCATTTACGGGTGCGTATTTTCGGCACCGATTTGATGTCTAGGGGGCGCGCCCAGTGACGTCACGGACGTCCAGATTCTACAGGGTGAAACCAGAGCCGTATATGGGGAGAGTTTGGTCAGTCTATGATCTCGCCGCCGTAACGCTCTCCTCCCGAGTGAGCCAATCAGCACGCGGCGTAGAGCGAGAGGCATGAGCGCATGCGCGTGAACTCCCGGCTGCTCCCACCTGAGTGGGGACGGCCGCCATCTTCGATCATTCTCCCGGCGGAATGCGTGGGATCGGCATCTAAATCTCGATTATTGCCTTTTATATCGCTGGCGCTAATAAATGAAGATTTTTCGGCGTATGGCCACAAACTTTTATTCAGGCGAAAAAGAAGTCGGCCCGTCGCAGACGACGCGTAGCCTCAACAGTGCTCTTCTCCAACCAGTCTCCGACAGCGTTGCTAAAAAATGGCGGTCGTCTCCTCTCTGCTCCCTTCTTTCTCTCTCGCTCCTTCGATGCTCTCCTCCCTTTCATTTACTTTTCTCCTCTCCGGTGCCTTCGTTGCCACGCCCACTGGCCAAGCTCTCCCAATATACGGCTCTGGGTGAAACAAGGAGACGGCAGGCTCTTTAAATCAACCGGAAAATTCGGTTTCTTAACCTATCGCGCTACGATTTTGTGCAGCGTTGCCCACAAATGGTGCATTCTTTTTTTGTAAAATTTGCAAAGAGTGAACTTGCCTGAGGAAAAAGTAAAGAAAGAAAAAGGCTTAGCTCCTATGGAAACGCAGCAACGCCACCGGTCTTCAAACAACACGGCGTCGTTTCGCACGGGAGACGAGATGGCGCAACGAACGCCGCCAATGAACGAGCATACGGCGCTGAGAGCCAGCGTCTTTAGCAGACAATCTTTTCGACTCAAAAGCGGCGCGCATTCCGCAGGCGGCGACAGTCGCAGAAACAAAAACAGGCGTGGTAACAACAAGGAACTGCAGTTCCTTGTCTGCAAAAGGGCCGGCTCTCGGCGTCGTCTGCTCGTTCATTGACGACAATTGGCGTCGCGACCGCTTGCGCCATCTCTTGTCTCCCGTGCGAAACGGCGCCGTGTTGTTTGCAGACCGGTGGCTTCGCTGCGTTTCCATAGGAGCTAAGCCTTTTTCTTTCTTCACTTTTTACTCGGGTAAGTTTGCTCTTTGCAAATTTTACAAAAAAAAAATGCACCATCTGTGGGCAATGCTGCACAAAGTCGTAGCGCGATAGGTTAAGAAACCGAATTTTCCGGTCGATTTAAAGAGCCTGGCATCTCCTTGTTTCACCCTGTATTTGGTATTCTTTGATGTAAACAGGGGGATCGGTGGCCGAGTGGTCTAGTGCACACCAGCTCGGAGCACGTGGAGCGAAAGCTCGCGCTGCAGAACCCAGGGATCCTGGGTTCGAGCCCCACCCCTGCCCGTTTCGATCTGGATGAGCATCGTACCGGCGTGCGGTCGTGTATCGCTACTGCGTGATGCACGTTAAAGACCCCAGGCTAGCGGTTGTACTGCACTGGCTAAATTTCTCATCTACAGCTGGGAGACTCGTCGCCCCTGTGAGGCAGACCAAGTTCTAGGCTGTATAAACATACCACACAACCCAATTTTTTTTTTTGATGTAAACACGTTTTATTGTGGATGCCGCCAACTGCATTTTGAAACGTCGGTCGGTCGGCGAGTGTGTGCGCGTCATCGGGTGCTCGGCGGTGTACTCGCCGGTGTGTGTCGACGTGCGCCTGTGCTCGTCGCGTATCCAGAAACAGTGAAAAAACTGAGTGTGCAGGCGAGCTAGTGGATGTTGATCATGATGTAGAAAACCTGAGACTGTGGTAAGAGCAGGGAAACTGTGTAGAAGAAGAAAGACAGGGGAAAAGAATGTCTCAAACTCGGCTCAGAGATGTTCTTTTCCCCTGTCTTTCTTCTTCAACACCGTTTCCCTGCTTTTACCACAGTCTCGGGTTTTCTACATCATGACCGGAAGCAGTGTTTTCTAATTTCGTTCGCCCAGTGCCGTCGGTCACTCCTCTTGCAAAAGAAGATTCGTAGTGACTACAGTACCGTCCGACAAAACTTTTGCAGAGCGTTCAAGTGCCGTCCAACAGTACTCCACTGACAATACTCCACGTTAAGTGCCGTCCGAAAGTCTCGTATAAAATTAATTGTCAAGACGTGATATCCGAAGCTGTAGCGTGGCTTAGCGGTTAAAATGTCTGCCTCATACGCAAGCGGTCGTGAGTTCGATCCGCAGTGGAGGCTTTTTTTTCGAACATTTTGTCTTGTTGGGGCATTTGGTGATATTTACAACATTTGTTTTTTACGACTAACTCTGAAAAAAAAAAAAACAGAATGCTGTTGACGACAGTGCTAAAAGTGCGAGCTAGTTGCTTTGGATCGCGCGGCACGAGCGCTCCTGCAGCGGGTGCAGTCATGCCAGTCAAGGCTACTCGCTCGCCGCTTGCACAGCCTTCGCAGCTATTCTATGCAAGGGTGATAGTCCGTCGTATTGCACACAAGTACAGCTCAAGAAAAATGCGTACAAAATTACTGAGGCTGGGCTCTGTCGCCTCCGGTGCACGTAACCTTCATTTGCAACAGGAGTGACAGACGGCACCGTGCGAAGTTTGAAAATGGAGAACGCTTATTTTAATGTTCCTGAGAACGCGACGAGTACAGGCGGCAACGTTGACAACACGCACCAGCGCAGACACCGCCGAGCCGCCGTGCACCCGGCCACACACACGCCGAGCGACCGACATTTCAAAATGCAGCCAGCGGCATCCAAAAAAAACATGTTGACATCAAATGAACTAAATAAAAGCTGTTATTTTGACGTCCATGACGTCATTGACCACGCCCCCTGGACACCAAATCGGTGCCGAAAATATGCAGCCGTCATTGACGCTGGTGATGATGCTATCTAGCCACCATAATGATACTGTACTTTCGTCGGCATAGTGCACAACAACCCAAATATACAACCGCTTTGTTTTTCTTTTTTTTTTACTGTTTGCGGTTAAAATATTACTGTGTGTCATCCTAACGTGTAAAATAGCAAAGGTAACAAGCGTGAGGTCCTTGCATGGTGACAATAATGTTTAACCCCTTAAGTGCCTTGGATGAGCTGAGCTCGTCGGCCACTTTCTGGCTAAAAATGCCATGGACGAGCTCAGCTCGTCCAGTGGTTTTTTCGGTGGCCTTCAATTCCACGGACGAACAAGGCTCGTCCGTGTAGTTTCGCAGCACTCGTATTAGTTGGCAAATATTTTTTTCGCCTCCGCTGATTTTTTTGTAATAAACTTTTCAAATTATATGTGTAATACTAGAGGAATAAAAATTCAAAATAAAAAAAACATGGCACTTTTAGGGTACTTTTGGGGGGAAAAAATGTGGCACTTAAGGGGGTTAAAGATAAAATGCTGTATTATTTACCTATGTTATTTATTTTCTGAGCTCTAGCGATCACTTATTTGATCCGGTGTTTCGGCGATTGTTTAGTTTTTCTTGCAGCGCTCGGTCAAAACCATCAAAACTGCATTTGTTCCCGTGTTTTCGTTTGCGTGAATAAAGGAACTAAAGTCCCAGCCGTACCACCTAAGTTTCTAGCATGCGGCCGGCGGAACAAATGGATAAGGTGGCGGGTACATGTTTGCCTTTAATTTATTCAAGATAGCAGAATAGTGTTCTGACTCATCTGTTTTTGTGGCACTTGAAAGTGCTTGAAAGCGGCAGCTGCCATTTTCCGACCAAACGGCATGAATTTAAATTGATATGATCCACTTGATCATGAAAAGGCGGCCTTGTCTTTTGATGCTTCCTCCATGGGTATTTGCCAATAGCCTCTCGTCAAATGAAGTTTCAAAAAGAGCGTTTTGCATCCCACATTCGCAAACATTACGTCTGGTCTTGGTATGGGTTCAGCATCGGACACCAACTCCTGGTTTAGACGCTTGAAATATATGCAGAACTGGTTCGAACCATCCGGTTTTCTCATCATTACCATAGGCGCGTTATACGGTGATGTCAACCTTTCGATAACCCCTACCTTCAACATCTCGGTGACCTTTTCCTCCTCCAGCTAATGTACTTTTAATGGTACTGGATACTGTGTCATGTGCACCAGCGTTTTGGTGTTTACCTTGAGGTCGCGCTTCATCAAGTTTGTCTTTCTGGGTAGATCTGAGAAGATCTCCTCGTAGTCACCGATCAAGTCGAACACTTGTTTTTTCTCTGTGTCTAAATCGGTATGGACTACCACGTCTTGTTTTTCTTGCTGTTTTGTCAGGGACAGCATTGGAACTTCGTCCTCGCCTCTTTCGGTGATGACGTCCCCATCGTCGTCTACTTTTATGGCCAACCCACAGCTTAAGGCGACTTGTTCATTCTCTTCCCTCTCTTCATACTTCTTAAGCATGCTCACGTGGAATACTTTCCTCCAAATTCAAGCTCATAATCTACTTTGTTTTTCTGGCAGTAACCTCGAAAAAACCCTCCCACTGCAATAAGCATCTTGTTATTGTCGCTTGGAAGGAGTATTAGCGCCCTATCTCCAGCCTTCATTTCACGTTTGACTCACCTAGGGTTGTAATTTCCCTCACACTTTTTTTTCGCTACCTCCAGACACCGATGGGCCAGATCACATGTTTCTCCGAGCTTCTCCCTCAACTTCAAAATGTATCCATGCGAAGTCTTCGTTTCTTTCTTCATTGCTTTATTGGACCAGACTTCTCTTAGGATGGCTAACGGTCCCTGTACTTATCTCCTATACAAGAGTTTGAATGGAGAGAATTTTAACCTGGACTGTGGTACTTCTCGGTACGCAAAAAGCAGAGCGGGTAAGTACCGGTCTCAGTCTTGTAAGTCTCTCCTGGCACATTCGTCTAAGCATTCGTTTTAATATGCCATTGAACCTTTCCACAAGGCCATTGCTCATAGGATGAGCAACGGTCGTTAGGAGGTGTCTCATCGACAACAGACGGCCCACCTCCTTCATGAGGTCTGACATAAAGTTTGATCCTCAATCGGTGAGGATCTCTTTTGGTACGCCATATCGCACAAATATGTGCATCAACGCTTCGCTACTTCTGGGGTGCTTTGCAAACCCGTGCTTTGCAAACCTAGCGCGTCTGGGTAGCGAGTGGCTACGTCCACCAAGGTCAAAATGTATCTTTTTCCTGAATCGGACTTTGGTGTAATGGGGCCAATGATGTATATGGCAATCCTTTGGAAGGGCATTTCTTGGTTGGCATGGTCCCCAAGGGTGCCTTACCCACTCTTCCTTTAGGCGCGGTGCGCTGGCAAATGTTGCAAGATTGCACATATTTTCGTATCTCACTCTGCATTTCTGGCGAGAAAACTTTTGCGACCAGTCCTATCGTGTTGTTTATCCCCTCGTGATTTTACGTTATGCTATCGTGGGCCATGGCTACCACTGTTCGTCTGAACTTCGCAGGAAGCACCAGCTGATCGGTTGTTCTTCCGGAGCTGTAGATGCCACTCCTATACAACAACTTGTTTCTTATAAAGAACTTCCGCTTGGTTCTTCCTCTATGCTTAGGAAAGACCTTACTATGTTTTGAAACATTTCTCGTGGCTCTTGTCGTTTTCTTGCTTCTTGAATATCTCTTCAGCTGTCGCTTCCAGTGGCGAAACCTGCGGGACCCTCAGTCCGACTCGCAGTTTTATGGATTGATCTTTGTTCTTTCCTGTCTCCGTCGCGTTCACGATGAGCATGGGCTCGTTCTCGCATGGTCCCGAACTTGTTGTGCCCTTTGGCAATGATTCAGAAGAGCTGTTGCGAGCTGGTTCTGCGCTTTCTTCTTGGCTCGTTTCCTTGTTTTGTTTTATCGACGTCTGCATGTCCAATGTTCCAGCTGGACTCGCCTCCTCCATTTCGTTCCACTTCGGGTCCGGATCATTAACGCCTCACACCATCGGCACGTTACCGAGCGCAAGATCATACAGCGTGTTGCTAACACACATCGCCCTCACCCTTCCGGTAAAGTATGGCGCCCTACCCATGATCTCCGCCTTGGGCACATACCTCACTGTCCTATCCAACAGATAGACTGGATTTGACTTCCTGGTGAAGCCCTCAGGGTGAACCATCTTCTTTCAAAGGACGACCGTATTACAACCGGTGTCCCTCAAAACCATTATTTTGCGGTCACCTAGACGTCCTTCCACTACTGGCATGTTTTTCACAAGAAACTTCGGAGCTCGTCCTACGGCCGCGTTGACCACCGGGATCTTGGCACCGTTCTGAAGCATGACATAGGCCTCATCAAGCTCAACAGCGCTGACGTCGCTTTGCTCCATTAATATGCAGGACGCTTAAGGTCGATCGTTTTGTCTCATCCCACAATTCTCGGCTCGATGTCTGGGTCTTCCACAGGTACAGCCCGTCAGCTTCTTGAAAGTAGGCGGTCAGTTATTGCAATTTTTTGTCTTGTGGCCAACCTTAGGACAAAGAAAGCATTGGTTGGTTTTTCTGCTTGCACCACTCATCGCTTTGTCTCTCTCCAGCACTTGACTTTTTGGTGCAGTCCTCCATCTTAGGCCTGCTCGCTCCTGTTTGTACCTGGGCCTCTAGATAGAGATCCGCTTTGGACGCTACATCATCTGATATCTTGCAGCCTCGTTTTCGTAGAAATACCGACAAACGGCTAGAGCAACTGAGTGAAAACTCCTCCACTAATCGCAGGACCTCAAATGTTCGATCCACTCCAGCAATCTCGATCCATCTGTCACAATACCCTGCAAGCCGGGCGGCAAACTGCCTCCTCGTTCCTCCTTTTTCATGTTTAGCTTCGCAAAACCTTTCCCTGTAGCCTTCTTTGGTGTACCTGAATCTTTTCATAAGCACGAGTTTGACTTCCGCGTAATCTAGCGCGTCTGCTGGGGAGAGGCGGCCAACTGCCGTCTGTGCTTCCCCGGGCAAGCAAAGACTCAACGTCGCGGCCCACTTTCGCTGGGGCCAGTCGAGGCCCGTTGCGGTTCGTTCGAAACGCTGTAAATATGCATTTAAACTGTCTCTGTCTTCATTAAATTGGGGGATCAACTTGTGAGGTCTAAATTGGTGTCCCTGTATCGGTGTCGCACCTTCCCCATTGCCTAAGATCCTTTTGCGACCAGACGCCACTTCTTCCTGTACCGTTAGCCTAAGTTGTAGAACTTCTGATTCTTTCTCCGACAGTGCTTCTTCCAACTCCCGTTCCTGTCTTGCCTTTGCTTTTTCTTCTTGTGCACTAGCTTTTTCATCCTCAACCAATTTCTTTAATCCTTTCCCTACGTTACCTAACTCTTCCCCGGCCACGATCAACCTTTCGTTTTCCTTACTGTTACGTCCGGTCTCACAGATACCTAAATGTCCCGGTCGAAGTGATAAAAAAAAAATTTGATGAAAAAAAAAAAAAAAAGGAATCCTGGCAGGCTCATCAATTTGTCACGTTCAACCGAGACGGACCCCAAAATCAGAGAAACAGGAAGAACAGGTTACAGAATTCCACCATATGCACATATATTGGCATAAATAAACCAAGCGAAAGACATAAGCAAATATACAGTACAGTATAGTCTTCTAGAACCAAGTCTCCGCCTCGGGCACTGACGACCTTGAAGTGTCCCTGCTCGTGAAAGAGGTAAGCCACACGGCTTACCTCTTTCATCTTCTCATCTTTTTCTTCTCCGGCTCACGATTGTGACACCTATACATAGCTTGCCCCTAACGTCATTTGCGGCCATGCCGGTATTTTATGTGCCACCAGTGTTCGGTTCTCAGTGTTAGTTTCACTGCACAGCTCGAGGGAACCAATAAGTAGAAAGAACCGTCAGCACCCAGTGATAGTGATGCCTGCAAGCTATGTATATACGGTATTCACTGGGTGCCATACTTGAGCACGTTATTCATAGTGCATTTTGGGGGGGGGGGGGGGGGGGGGGGGCTGTGGGCTGTGGGCTGTGCTGGGGTATGGTTGACCTGGCAGAAGTCCCGCATTCTCACATCAAGCTCCTACCTAATGTCTGCCAAGAAAGGCGATCTTGAAGGTGCGGAATGCACATTGCAAAAGCACTGCGTAAGCTTTGACATATACAACATAGTAAACGCGTTAGCATTCTCTGCCAAATCATATTCAGGAGTCGGGACTAAGTAACTCCATGAACCAGCTATACTGCTGCAAACTGGTGCTGCTTCTAAGAGGCCAATGACGTGGCGGCATTCCAACAGAGCTTCACAGACCGCCTTCAGGTGCAATCTTGAAATCTATTTTTTTGTTTTAATCTTAGATTTCTTTACTTTTCTGGCGGCAGCCCAGACACATTAGACTAGTGTCTCTGGGCTGTCGCCACAACATAGACCACATCTAAGCGAAGAAATAAGAGCGAACAATTTTGTTTCCGTACCCCTTTAAATCAGCCTCGAAGTGTAGTCGACAACATTCAAACGAAACCCACACTTACAAATTATTACTTCAGTCACATAAGCAAAGAGGTTCGTTGATATTCTCCCACAATAGCGAACTCCCTCGATTGTTCACAACAGGCTCTGCTGCGCTAAACGAACACTCGAATGACATTGAAGTGGCGGGGACATGTGCAACCTTCTCCACTTGTTTGGAGTAATGAATCTCGCCCCTGCAGATAACTTTAGGTCAAAATTTCACCTAAAGTTTGCCTTCCTGCTTGTGTACTCGCCCACGTCTGCGTAAAAAAATCGTTGAATTTTTTTTTTTTTGTTAGTCAAAATATAATTGATTCACTGGATAAAAAAAATTAACTGCAATAAAAGCTGTCGCAGAATAATCGGTAGGTTAATAGATCAAGTGTGCAGCCCTAGAAGAAACCTAGAAAGCCTCGGAACGGCAATTTCACAAAAGTTGCATCGTCGACGTTCATTCTTTCGTTCAACAGGGATCTCGTTTCCAAGCGACATGGACCACCTGTGGCACATGAACAACGCCAAGTACCCCCGTGCATTTGAGTACGCAAGGGCGGTGTTTGGTCTCAAGAGCGAGCTGTTGATCACGGCGAGGCAGCTCGGCACAACGATGGTGATGACCTCCCAGATGATACGATACCGGAAACCGCTAACCGTCTTCCAATGGTACCGGATCACCACAAAGGTATGCGATTGGCTCCCGCGCAACATGTTAAGACTATGATGCCAGGAACTCGTGTTCGACTGGTGCGCTCAGCGGATCCCGCACCGCCCGAGCATCACGAGCGGTCTTGAAGTGGCATCAAATATGTCGCAGGAGCCAGCCCATCACGTTGTCGGATGTTGGTAAAAGTTACGGCAAAAAAAAGATGAGAGAATACCGATCTCGTCCTCCGGGCATCCGAACTCGTTGCTGTAGGAGCTTTTGTGGACAGACGAGCCGAGGGCGAGCTACAGCAAAGCGGGCATCTGGCGCCTCGGCCTCCAGTCTCATGTCGGGCGAAAATTGAGGGACCGCATTTGAGGATGCGGTAAAATGCACCGGTTTGAGGCATACTCTAGGCAGCAAGGCTGCGACGTTTCAGTTTCAAGTGGGAAGCTGCGACTTTATTTTTAGAATTGTGAAACGAGCTTTACGGGCGTTTCGTATTGGCGCCAAAAGTAATGCGCGACAACGTGAGGTACGTTGCAGTGTCGCTGGAGTCGTAGTTGTGAAGTTCGCAACCGGCCTTTTGCAAACACGAGAGACCGAGGGATTGGGAGAGAGCACATACTTTAATGGGTATGTGTGAGATTGAAAAAAAGACAAGGTTGACCGTAATGGCCCGTTCAGACTTGCAGACCCGTGGGTGAATTGGCACAAAACTTGACGCCGGGCTGCGAAGCTGGCTTGCTGCTGGCAGAACACTCAGCCGTGAGAGCAACTGGACCGAAACCAATTTTCTCCACGCGGAAAAAGTTCTCATGCCGCTGTGGCCAATCGGAACACAAGGAGCCTACAGCGTCGGCCGACATCGAGTCCTAGCCGAGTCACCCAAGTTGTCAGAGTCCCCGAGTTGCGTAAAAGGCGCGGCCTCGCTCGTACCATTGTCTCGGCAGAAATACCCATTACGACCTCCTTCGACGAGAGGCATCCAAACAATGAAGGCGATGCCCACAAAGATCTGTGGAACAAAATTGATGTGAACAGTACGCACGCATCTGTTGTCTCCGGTTGTTCATTGTTTTATTATTGCATCCTGGTATCGCCGAGAGAGAGTGTTGTGCATTTTCTCGGCACTGTGGGCCATTATATTGCGTAGCAGTAAAGCTTTGACTGCAAGATGAAAGCTGTGAGAGCGGTTTTTCGAAGACTGCACGAGACTGTCTTCTCTGGTGTCTTCTAGAGATCGGAGCCACACGAATGCGGCAAGTGGCAACAAATGTGACCGGCGTTGCCAAGGGAGCTCAAGGGAGTTCTTCTCGGGTGTGAATCAGGCTTAAAGAACACATGCAAAGGAAAAAAACATTTTTTTTAAACGGCTTAGATGGAAAAAGGACGCCATAAAACGATTTTACAACGAAGAAAAAAAATTTTTAGAGCTATATTTACGGCGTAAAACGAATTTGTCGTTGGCGCCCGCGGGCACCGCGGAAAAGTGGTCTGTATTTATCACGTGACTGGTCTTTATTTATCACGTGGTGCTTGCGCTCTTTCGGAAGCTTCCTATGGCCTCTAAAAGTAACTTATTCATCTTTGTTTGAAGTATAACAAAAAACCAAGACGAATAAGTAACTTTTAGAGCCCAAAGGAAACTCCTGAAAAAGCGCAAGCAGACGTGATAGACCTGTGCGCCAGTCAGACGACGGCGGCGGCGCCCCGAAGCAGACAAACTTGTGCGGCGGCGGCGACGGCGGCGTGGAGAAACGCGTTGAAGCGGCGTTCGCACATCGCTCAGCGTGCGGCGGCGACGCAGCGCGGCGGCGCGCGGGCCTACCACGTGACCAGCGGCGGCTCCCGCGAGCGCCAACTACAAATTCGTATAGCGCCGTAAATATAGCTCTAAAAATTTTGTTTCTTCGTTGTAAAATCGTTTTATGACATCCTTTTTCCATCTAAGCTGTCTAAAAAAATTTTTTTTTTCCTTTGCATGTGTCCTTTAAGGAGGAAGGAAAATTGGAGAGTCAGATGCAGACACTGAGAGCGTACATGACGGAAGCAAAACAATGTGTCTATCTAGAGATTTTTTTTTTTTTTTGTAATCAATTCAGTGAGCACAAAGTCAACTCTTCTGTGAACGTCTTTTCTTGTGAAGGCACCTCTAGATGTGCAGTATTAGGGTTTTACGGGAAATTAAAAGATACGCTACTCTAATTAAAAAGTTTTGTAAAAGCAAAATGAATGCTTTGATAAATTCATTCTGGGAAGGTATCTGCATATGTGCAATTTCAGGTTTTTAATTAGGCAAAGCCAAAAATAAACGGCTCTAACCAGTGAACTTATGCATGCACAAACTGCAGGTGTTGGAACGTACCTGGGTCTTTCAGCAATTAGTTATGCTGCATCCTATAAACATGTCACCCATTATTTCGTGAGCACTTTGTTCCAACTCCAATCCTCTTTGCTTTTCCATGTCGAACTAGAGAACCCTGTAAACGTTTTTACGGCACATCCACACTCGCCGCTCAAACAGTTGGGACGAAGGTTCAGAAAACGCTATAATGGAGGAATAAATAAAGCACATTTTCTTATGACCAAAACATGTTTCCCTTATTTTTTCATAGAAATTTATTTCCGCCGTCTCAAACGTGGGACTCCAGTTCGCGTCAAAGTTTTACATTGGAGCAATGCCGGTTCTTGAGAGGCTTGAGAATGTAACTAGGTTCACGTGTTTTCAATAAATACCGACAAACCCTGGACGGTTTCATCAAAATCGAGGCAAAGAAACCTCGAAACGGAGCTGTCCTTGTGTAAAAGCCCAAGATTCAAGGGAAGAAATTTGCTGTTTACCGTTCCGAAGAAAGTAGCAAGGCTGCTACTTTCTTGGGAACCGCATTCCTCGTTTTGTTTCCTTCTCTTACAGGTATCGGAGCGTTGGCAAAGTATTTGGGTCATGCCCTGTTCCCTGGAGGTCGGGGAGTCCCATGCCCGTGTCCCATTTGTTTGAACCAAAGCCCCCACTGAACAACAATTTTTGTTTTTTTGTTCATCGCCGAAAAATGTTGAATCTGTGGAAAAGAATAAGCCCCGAAAACACACCTCCGAATTTGAAAAAACATAAACCCCAGAAACACGAAACCCTAATGGTAATCAATTGAACAAACTTTTTTTTTTCTTTCCACCAGGTCGTCTTCATCGAGGGCAGGGACATCTACGTAGAGCAGCAGCTAGCAACTACGAGCGACAACTTTGTCCACGGAACATGCATGGTGAAGCTCACCATGACCAAGGGAACGGTCGAAGACGTCCTCAAGGCCATGAACTTGGACCCTTCGGTCTGCCCGAAGGAGGTGCCCGTCGAAGTCCGTCACTTCATTGCCTACAACGAGGCCAACAGCTCCCGGCTAAACCCTGCTAAGGCTAAAGAAAGCTGAGCTTGCTTTTGCGAGCCGGTTTTACTGGCACAGCCTTACTTAGACCTTTCTGAGATGCACGTCTATTTTCACGTGCGGCAGCAGAGGCGCGAACAGTCGTTTGATGGGCGTTTCTTTTTCGTCGGCATAGTGGTATAGGTATAACGGTATAGCTTCTCCCATAAAGCTCTCTTGGTCGCCATGATTTGCAGTTTCCTCCTCTCGTATGTTACCCTCTGCTGAAATGGAAGAGGGGGAGGGCTTTGAGGAGGTGCTTGTTGTCCTATTTACTTGCAGACTTGCAACGGATTATAGTGGATCACTGTTCAGTACACCTAAGGACAGAGGGATATGAAAACCGGTTTTCAAGGATGGGGATGTATTTACTTTATCGGATTTCTCTAGGAGGTGTGGGGGAGGGGGGGAGGAAGGAAGAGAAGGGGGGGGTTGCTTAGTGCCGTCATTTTATTCAGTTTTATTTTGATGTTACGACTTAATCTTCAGCTATGTGTTAAGTGTAGACGAGACCTTAAATAGTATGTGAAGTAAACATAAGGGGCTCTATTAATTTGAGAACTGTGGCATTCAAGGGACATACCTAAGTGGTGCCAAAGATGGGAAAAATAGCGAGAACATTTAAAATAAATGTTAACGCAATTTGTTAAGATTTTACCGAAAACTAAGATGAAACAGGGATCCGTGGTGATTTTATCATTTGCTACCTGCAGAAGGTGCTATAGCATTTTGTCGGTCACCCGTTAATATTTCAAAACAGAAGTCCAGTTGAGTGGAGCATGTTAACTGGGTCACCACTGCCATTATGGGACAAACGATCTCAACTCTTGGTTGTTTTGACTAGGATGTTACATGCTGAAGGATGAAAGTTGTTCTTCCTTTTAACAAAAAGGTCGGATGGGTGGATGTTAACCCTTTAAGGTGGCCCCGCAATCATATTTAAGTGTGTACCTTTTCTGCGTTTTCCGCGTCTCTTGGGGTTTGGGCAAGCCAGCGGGCACGGAGAGAGTAATTAAATATCAGTGCGTCATATTTTAACGGGACGACGCGGAAACTTCCTCTACCGACAGGGGCAACCCGCGGTGCCGAAAGCGCGCGATATGTGACGTCCTTGGTCCTGGGCTTACTACTGGTCAAAGCTGCTAAAAGCTTCTTTTTAGTCGAAATACAAAATATAAGTGGCGCGAACCGTTTCAATAATTTGTACAAGCAGTTTTTGTTCAGTATTTTAGATCAGAAAAGAAACAAATGCAGTTCATAAAGTACGGAAACAAGAAATGACCCGTCGACGTACCCGCCACCAAGCGACAGAAAAGGCAGAGCATACTAGAAAGGAGTAGTGGGATCAAACGCCGACACGGAAAGGTCCCGGATGTACGCGGCGGCGCTGCGGTCGTACTGACTGGAGGATCCGACCGGCTCCGAGCATTCCGAAGGCCTTCGGCGAGCAGCTTTGTCTGGCGGTTTGGCCGTTTTGCGGTATGGCAGCGCGAAGTGACTCCCATTCTGACCTCCCCGCAGGGGGCACCTGTGAAAGCAGGTGTTTGGAGAGTGGCGTCTCCACGGACCCCGAGCCCCGCAGGGGGCGCCTGCACCTTAGGTGCTAGGTGCTTGGTGAGTAGCGTCACCACGGACCCCAGCCACATTGGCAACATCACAGACCTTGAGTAAAAAGTGGCTAAGACCCACCCACGTCTGGCTGTGCGTGGCGAACCCGTGTCCGGGGAAAAGGGCATCCTGGTGGTTGAGCTGAACCCGGGGTAGGTTTGGACCCTTCGGGGCCCCCCGGGTGAGGCAACACACCACTTTGGCCCCCGCTTCTCGTAGACGGGTGTCCTGGCTTGGCCCGACCAGGATGATGCAGTCAGTCGCCATTTCTTCTACTATCCCCTCTCTTCTTTCCCTTTCCTCTTCTCTCGCCTTTTTTCCATTTCAACCTCTTTGGCGGCAAGGGCTAACCTTGGGTGGCTATAGACCCCTGTCTAGCACCACACTGGGTTATAGTGCCTGGGCAGCGCTGATAGTGTAATGTCGTCAGCCAAGCCACTCTTGCTATGGCGCATTACCTATCCCCGTGTTGGGCTCCGTGGTGGGTGGCGCACCCGGGGCACCGAAGATCCTCCCATTATTATGGGTTCCAAGCGAAACTTTCTTGATCGGCCTCTGAAAAGAGGCCGCACCGAAGCTCTACTCCTTGAAAAAACACCATCTACGCCTGAAAAATTTTCAAAATTCCTGGTTATGCATTCGGAGACTGAAAAACCTCTTACCAAACTGTCCCCATTCCTCGTCGCGAAGGTGATAGAGGGAGTGGTTGGAAAAGACTTTCATGCCAAGAAAATGTCATCTGGCGACCTCCTCATCCAGATTAACACCAAACGACAAAGTGACGCCCTCTTAGCGCTAAACTCCATCTCAGACTATAGGGTCACTGTCACAGCACACCGCACCCTTAACACCGTTCAAGGCGTCATCTCTGAGGATGACCTCCTTGATACGCCGGAGAAAGAAGTCGTTGAGGGGCTGGCCACGCAGGGTGTGACGGCTGCACGGCGGATCACCCTGCGTCGGGACGGTGTAGAATTGAAAACAAAACACATTGTTTTAACTTTTGAATCAACCTCTCTCCCCGAAGTTGTTAGAGCCGGCTACCTCCAGTGCCGCGTCCGCCCATATGTGCCAAATCCGCTGCGCTGCTTTAAGTGCCAGCGGTTCGGGCATGGGTCGCGGAACTGCCGGGGGACCAACAAGTGTGCCAAGTGCTCTAGTAAAGAGCACGTTGCTGAAGCATGTGAGAGTGAACCTCTGTGTTCAAACTGTGAAGGCCACCACCCTGCCTATTCCAGATCCTGCCCTGTCTGGAAACAAGAAAAAGAAATTCTTGCACTAAAAATTAAAGAAAATATAAGCTACATTGATGCAAAGAAGCGCTTTGCATTTATCTCTAAAGGGTCTTATGCCCAGGCCGTGCACAGGGGTCCGGCACGGTCAATGGTGTCGACGGGAACGCAGACGTCTTCGGACGACCTGCGTCTCCCGTTAGGTCCCCTTTCCTCGGGAGCAGTGCCAGTTGCACTGCCTCCAAACCGCAAGGTGGATGCTCCCTCATCAGCGTCCACCTCGGGAGCGGTGCCTATGGCACCGCCTCCAAACCGCAAGGTGGATGCTGCTGCGTCAGCATCCACCTCAGGGCAGGGTATGACCTCCCCTGCCCCACCTGCTGCTTCGGTCCCTCGGGGCCGGGGCCTCCAATCCCGGAACTCTGGTCCTCAGAGGAAGCCTGGGGAGCCCCCCAAGCAGTCGACCTCTGCAGGTCAACCTGAGGCCATTGCCTCCCCAACAGAGGAGCCAATGGATGAGAGCGGACCCAGATCTGACGAGGACGCCCTCCTCTCGGGATCTGAGTCTTCCTCTTCCGCTCCCAGTGGTCCCACTGGGAAACGGAAGGAAGCTACGAAGAAGAAAAATGCCCCGCGTATTAAGATAGATTTTAAGACCTGAAGATCCCTTTTGATCGGTATATTCTCATTTTTTTCTCTTTCGAGTTTTTTTTAAACTTTTTAATACTTGCTCTACTGTTTTTTAAATAATGAGTTTTATGCAGTGGAACTGCAGAGGTCTTTTTAGTAATTTAGATGATGTGAAGCTCTTGTTGCAGAGGCATGAACCCTCTGCATTTTGCCTGCAAGAGACTTACCTCAAACCACCCAACAACAACTTTCTTAGATCATATCAAGTCTACAGGAAGGACCGTGTGACTACTTCTAGCGCTGCCGGTGGGGTTGCTATTGTCGTAGACAATGGCACTCCTGCCTATGAGGTTCCCCTAAACACGCCTCTGGAGGCCGTTGCGGTGAGGTTGCTACAGCAGCGCCTTATTACAATTTGCTCCATTTACATCCCCCCTTCATTTGCCCTGGAACTCGCCCAACTTGAAACTTTAATCGATCAGCTCCCTGAACCTTTTATTTTAATGGGCGACTTTAATGCACACAACCCCCTCTGGGGCAGTGTCCGAACTGACACTCGAGGTGCCGTTGTGGCGCGGTTTTTATCTCTCAGAGAAGTATGTGTATTAAATACAGGCGAGCCAACATATTTCAGTTCTGCTAATCACTCCTTTTCTTGCATTGACCTCACAATTTGTTCCGCTGCACTTTTTACAGATTTTATTTGGAATATATTGGATAACCCTTATGGAAGTGACCATTTTCCGGTATATCTTACTCCCTTAGAAGTCCTGCCCAGGCTGCCTTGTCGTTCCCCCTGTTGGAAGATCTCTTTAGCAGATTGGAACCTTTTTCAGTCAAATATCCCTTCTTCCCTGGATCTTTCGCAAGCGGCCTCCGTGGACGAAAAAAATGCTCTCATAACATCAGCAATTGTTGAGGCAGCCCATCTGTCCATCCCACAGACATCCGGCAAGCTGCCGAGACGTCCTAAACCGTGGTGGGATAATGAGTGTAAAGAATCTCGAAACCGCCAAAACTGTTCTTGGGCAAAATTTAGGAGGTATCCCACTTCCATAAACCTCCTGGCATTTAAGCAATTACGTGCAAAAGCCCGCTATATTAGGAAACGGGCGAAAAGGAGATCCTTTTGCTCATATGCATCTTCCATTAATAGTTTCACACCAGCGAAGATTGTCTGGGACAGAGTAGGTAGAATGGATGGTGACTACCATCCTTTCTCAATCCCCTTGCTGTTAGACGAGAAGGGAGAAGCATTTTCATCATTATATGAACAAGCCAATGCACTGGGTAGACACTTTGCACAAGTCTCTAGTTCTGAAAACTACACTGCAGAGTTTCTGCAGTTTAAGTCCAAGCGCGAGAGAATTCCAATTCGTAGGTCAGAAGATTGCACTGAAAAATATAATTGTCCTTTCTCCCTCGTCGAGCTTCGTCGAGCCCTTGCTGCTGCAAAGCCTACATCCCCTAGGCTTGATGCAATTCACCCTAGCATGCTTTCTCATCTACCTGAAACATTTCTAGTCATTCTCCTCCAGTTTTTTAACATCATCTGGGCGAAAGGAAAGTTTCCTAGCACCTGGAAACAGGCTATTGTCATCCCCATCTTAAAACAAGGAAAGGACAGAAGTAAAGCCACGAGCTACAGGCCAATTGCCCTTACTAGCTGTTTGGGGAAAACTTTTGAGCGGCTGGTTAACAACAGGCTAATCTACATACTAGAAGAAAAGAACCTATACTAAGCAATTTCCAGTGTGGTTTTCGCACTTCCAGGTCTACTGTTGACCACCTTGTACGTCTTGAGACGGCGGTCCGCGAGGCTTTCATAAATAGGCAATTTTGTCTGTCTGTATTTTTCGACCTTGAAAAAGCTTACGACACCGCCTGGCGATATGGCATACTCCAGGACCTTATGTCGATGAACATAAAAGGGAGAATGTTCAACTGCATTGCTGACTTTTTGCAGGATCGTAGCTTTCAGGTACGCCTGGGAGCTGCAATCTCCGACCCTTTCCCCCAGGAGAATGGCGTGCCGCAGGGCTGTGTCTTAAGCGTCACTTTGTTTATTATAAAGATAAATTCTCTATCTCAAGTAATTCCGCCCACAATCACTCATTCTCTTTACGTCGACGATGTCCAGATCTGTTTTTCTTCATGTAACTTAGCCATCTGTGAGCGACAAGTTCAACTTACGGTAAACAGGATGAGTAAGTGGGCTGACCAGAATGGCTTCCGGTTTTCTGCCGAGAAGACTGTGGCTGTTTGCTTTTCTCGAAAACGAGGAATGTCTCCGGAGCCATCATTGTATATTAAAGGTACACCCATTCCGGTTAAATCGGAGCATAAGTTTTTAGGCCTAATATTCGATAGTAAATTAAATTTTGGCTCACATATAAAGGAACTAAGATTAAAATGTCAGCGAAAGTCGAATCTTCTTAAGGTCCTTGCACACCGTTCATGGGGTTCTGACCGTGTCTGCCTTTTGCGAATCTACAGGGCCTGTGTTCGCTCAGTTTTGGATTATGGAAGTATTGTTTATGGTTCTGCCAAACCCTCTACACTTAAAATGTTAGACCCAATTCATCACCAGGGAATCAGACTGGCAACCGGAGCCTTTCGAACATCCCCCGTGCCCAGCTTGTATGCCGAGTCAAATGA